ATTCTAATACTGTACCTGTTTTTCGTCAAGCTCATATAACCTGTGCAGTTATTATGGTAGTGAGCGTGTTAGCTACCTTACTTCTTCGATTCACTTTGACTAAACAAAATAATAATGACGATAACATACAACTTCGAACACCGAAAACAAACAACCGAGTGAGTCACATAGATTCTGATATTCTTTATCTTTTAAATTTTTATATCGTTTTAGCATGATAGTGTCAGGTCGATTTCGTGAACTATGTATTTGTTTAGAAGTAGACTACTCCAGAAAAACAACGATTATTACACTGCAATGTTTTGATTTGTTTTCTACTGACTTTTCTATGTATTTCTAGTGTTTAGTATTCATGTCTCATGCTGTTCAGGCATGATCAAAGTACATCTTGCGGTCATTTCATTTCTTTACATTCTATTTTCATAACTCGGTCGTACATTTACTTTGAGTCAGTTGTTGTTCGTGCTATTAAGTTCATTTCTCATCGGATAATAAACCATTATACAAATAAACTGTACTCCTAAACTATCGTAGTTTTGAGGAATACCAGTTTGTTTTCGTTCTCATGTGGATGTGCGTGTGAGTCTCTCATTTATCTAAATCGACAGTCAAAGCCACAGTCATACACCACACTCACACTCTATTATGAGTTCGAAGTAATATGATTGTAAAACAAATTGATCAACCATAGCATCAAAAGCCTCGAATTGCTTGTGTTATCTGATGATATTATCGTTACATCAACTATATAGTTCAGTAAAGTTAATATTACATACAATCTTATCGAGTCTTTATTTAATAGTATGTACTAAATCAATATTATTAAGTTTCTTGAAAGTAGTAAGCAATAGTTCATCAGGTAAATCATGAATGCTTACATTCAAGCTATCCATGCTAACGGAAATTCATGATGGTCCCAGAAACATTCAATATATTGCGACTGGTATGAAATTGACTGAAATAAAAAAGCTTGTTAGCGCAGCCCCTTTGGGGCTGAAATGTGGAACTCACATAGATTCTTTGGTTTCATAATGCTAATCTCAAAATACGCAATATTTTAAAACTGCAAAAGATAATAGTTTTTTTCTAAAGATAATCGATTATCAGAAAATGCTGTCGTTTTTATCTCTATATTTCGAACAGAATTTTTTTCTTTTTTTGACTAAGTTGCTATGGTCTGTAATTGGGGGGGGGGGGGTGTCTGTAATGTGGGCCTACGTTGCTATGGTCTGTAATGGGGGCCTGTCTATTAGGGGAGGAGGGGGAGCCGCGAAACCTCGAACTTAAAACTTACACTCACTATTTTCTTCGAAAATATATGTGAGTTCCACAAAATGGAGAAGAATTTATAGTACGAGAATACAATATCGATCATATGAGAAAGTCGAAAAAGTTTCCTCCAATATTCTTGATTGGTACGATGAAAATATTTGACTATACAAAAACTTAATAGATACCTAAACAGAATATTTCCAGGTTTGCCAAGTTTTGGCCAGATTAGCTTTGATTACTCAGTAGGCTGATTGAATGGTTCTCTATGAGACGGATTGGATTTATGAAATCTTTTGAGAATTATTGGGCAAAAGAATGAACAAGATACTAGAGATTTTGCTGAGAAAAAACGAGAATATCAAGATTGTTTAGGTAGAAGATGGTTCAGTGTCTGCGTGAAATGTAAAAATAAAGTGTAGTTCTACCTGGAACTGCTAACCACCGATCGATATCTACATCTTCAAGTAGCTACTTTTTTAGAACTGAAGAATTAAATTTTTCTTTGTGATATCTCGAACGTCTTCGATCTTTTTAGTGAAATATAATTTTTCGGTATTTTTATATGATCGATCTATTTTTTTTTCTCGATCATTTTGATTCATATTATTGTGAATATTATAACTATTGAATTACTGTCAAGCGAGTTCATGTGTGAGCAAATTCAACGATGGGCAAATAAGAGGTTTTTACAGTTTAAGTCAAGTCAAAAGATAACTATATGCTCTCATTTGACCGCCGCTTGTCTGAAGTATAAGAATGAATTTGTTTATTTTTTGTTTGTTTGTTTCTGTTCTCATAAGTACTTTTAGTGTAGACAAGAACTAAATGCATGAAATCGAAAACTATGTCCATTTTGTTTTTACTTGTGACTTGACTTTGGAGGCCAAGTCAAATGAGAAAGTGACTTGACTTATCTATCCCTGATTGATATTGATAGTAGCAGTGATCATCGATATATATTGTACAATACATTTCCATTAGGTATTTCCTATATTGGTAGAAGAATATTGTGTTGAAATGAGCAATAATTTTTTATTGATTGATAGTGTTTTGCTGTTTACTACGATATATTTGCTATAATTTTTCAATTCTATGTTAAATGAATTTTCAACAATCGTTCTACAAGATTATGACTTGAGTGATCAATGAAAGGAGTAAAATGTTAAGAGCAAATTGAGTAGAATATTCATTTTAAGTTAGGAAAGACAATAAAATGAACCATTACAAAATGAAAATTACACAAGAACTATTATTCAAATTAGAAAGAGGTATGTGAATTTATTTTGATGTTATTCAGATTAAAACGAAGTACAGAACATGGAGAAGTGAGAATTTATGGATATGAGAAAAATTAGACGGACTATATATGCTATCTTATGATATTTCACGAAAATGAGTGATTCACAATTTTTCACAGACAAGTTCAAATGAGCTGAAATTTTGCACATAGAGGTTTCTTGACATGGGATTTCATCTGAAACACTTAGATCAAACATTTGAAAGAAAATTATCAATCCTCATAGTGAGAATCGGAACCGAAACTCGGTCTTTTCAGTCGTGTTCAAAAAATGTTTGCTACCAAAGTTCAACATGACAAACTTTTGAAAACGTCAGTTGACACATTTTGATGTGCTCTTTCAAATGAGTCCATTCTCGATTTATTCTATTGCGCTGTTTCGACTAACTTGCCGTATCTACGTGAGAATGTTTTCTAAAAATGGTGTATAATGCCAAGTAAAAATCATCCAGTGATGAGATACTTTTATTACCACAAAAATATAGCCCATCATCGATAGTATTTACAGTAAAAATATCTAAGTTATATCTCTTGTTGTTTTCAAGAAAATGAAAATTTACTAGAAAGTATTGCAATACAAAGTATCCCAAATGAGACCTACACCCTCTTGCTTGCGACACCTATATCTCCAGAACACGTCATCCGTTTGAGCTGAAATTCTTAGTTTCTTTCTAAGTCTGTTAGGTCTACATACTGTAAAAAGATCAGCCAAATCGGTGAGATTGATTGAGAAACGTTGGTCGTGGCTTACGTGCAGTGGCTCCTAGGTCTTTGGTTTGTTTAGACAGTGAGAAATCTTGAAGAATAACCATTAGATATTACTTCAACATCTGAAATTGATAGAAAAAATTAATACTTTATTGGAAAAGATTATTCAAATGTATATCAAAAAGATTTCACAGAAGTTCAAAATGACAAGACAAGTAATTAATCTTTATTTTGTTTATTTATATCAAATTTTCTAATGTAAACAATACTTTAGATAATGTTATACGAACATTAGTATCGCGTATGGTATGATATAATGAAGCATTGGTTGTATTTGATCAAATTGCTTGAGATGTTGAAAGATATTTTATTCAACGATGGAATATTCATAAATTTAGCTAATATTTCATCACATGCATTGATAATCGAAGACTGTCGAATCAAATAGAATTTATACTAAATATGAAGTTTATTATAATCAATTAGTTTCTTAACAAAACAATTGACTAACATCTGAGTTAGTAACTAATTTAGTCAAATCTATAGCTTAATTAAAAACATATTAGATCAATCTTTGTGTGATTAAAATATGATAAAAGATGTAATTGTTGTCACAAATCATTCATATATTGTTTTCTTGGATATATTGGAATATACAATCGTTATCTTATATCACTCACAGTTACAGCAGTACTTTAAACATTAATGTTTTTCTAATATGATACATTTGATTAGTGCTTCTTTCTTTACAGAAAAATCTATTGTAACTTGTTTTTTTCTACAATGATTTGTCCTGACATGGATTTTCTCTATCTAAATTTTTACCCAGAAGGTTTTTAGCAGTAGTATAATTACGATTGTCTCAAGGTGAGACCCATTGACCGTTCTAATTTTGAAAATTTTCGTTTTTTTCTGTAGTAAAATTCTCGTGTTTCTTTAGTTGTTTTGCTCACCGATTTTTGAAAATTTCACTTGATCCTTCGACTCAGCTTGAAGACATATAGACACTCCTAAATATAATCTCCAAATTTTCTTGAATTTACTGATGATAAGTAAGACGGAATGCGGATGAGGCTACAAATCACATGAGCATTAAAAACTGGCATAAACACTCACTCACACTCTTAGTATTTATTGGCAACTACATATGTAAAATGTTTAACAACATCAATCATTTGTATATAAGCATTAATGAATCGATGATTTCGTTCCTGTTGACCATGGTTCAACGGAACAAATACACTACATACAAAATTCAAGTGAAAAAAGTCTTTAAAATGAATAGTAATTTAAAGTAATTATTTACTTGAGTATTTATAGAAAATGGCTCACATTTAAGAAATTCGCTCTAGTTTTCAATAGCCAATTCTTCAACATTATTATAAAACTTAGATAACAGAAGTGGAAAAAAAATCATTATTTAAATTTGAAAAGTATTTTCCGCAAATAAATTCATAATCTAACAATTAATTAGTTTTTTACGAAAGCGATCGATTACTATCTGAATTGGTAATGAGGTCAAATAATATACCGATGTAGATTAATATATAGAAGAAACAATTTTTGATTGTTATTTCATATTCAGAATCAGTTCTTTATTATTATTGCTGAAGATTCAACAGTTCAAAATTAATTAGCTGATGTTATTTTTCGACGTATAGAACAAGTACATAAGTAGGAAGTATTTTTTAATATTCTATAGTATTTTAAAAAGTTTCTTTTAATGATTAGAAACGTTGAAAAATTTCATGCTTATAATGTTCTTCCTCTTTTACTTGATTTTGATAATTTGAATGCTGTACAACGTTGTACTATCTATTTTCTTATACGTTCAATAGCTCAGAGTGATAAATCATTATTGAAACAACTTGAAAGTGCAGATAAATCAGTACCGGGTGCGGCATAAAGATTGCAACATTTAGTATTTTGCAAATATCTCAGCAGAAATCGATCGTATAATCTTGATTCTTTTTTTTTTTAAATGCGTCGTGAAAAGCTCTACAAAAAATGTAAGAACGATTCCCTATTAACTTGCTCTGATGGTGTCTGCTACACTCAAAATGAATAGGTCACATGATGGTGCTATGTCCCACTGTATTAAACATGTGGAAGGCTTTTTTTATTTTGCAAATATCTCGACTTGAGAAAACAATAACACCTTCACTTTTTTTTAAGAAGATGCGCCGTCAAAAGCTCTACAAGAACTGTATGAACAAATTTTTATTGACTTGCTCTGATGACTTTTCTAATTGGTTAAAATTAAAGACCTGCGTGATGTTGCTACCGAGTGGTCAAAAACGTGTACGACATTTTTTATTTTGTATAAGTCTCGGTTTAAGAAAATGCTACAATCTTGATTTTCTTTTTAAAAGATGCACCGTGAAAAGCTCTAAAAAAACTGTAATATCAAATCCCTATTGACTTCCTCTGATGGTGTCTCCGATACTCAAAATGAACAGGTTACATGGCAATGCTATGTCCCACTGTATTGACTATTACAAAAATATTTCGAAGACTTTTTTATTTTGCGAATATCTCGATTTGGGAAAATGATAATGTCTTGATATTTTTTTCAAAGATACGCCGTTGAAACCTCTACAAAAGCTGTATGAACAACTTCCTATTTCAAAATAAAAAAAAGGTTTCCAAATATTTAATACAGTGGGACATAGCATCATCATGTGACCTATTCATTTTGAATATAGAAGACACAATTAGAACAAGTCAATAGGGAATTGTTCTTGCATTTTTTGTAGAGCTTTTCACGACGCATCTTTTAGAAAAAGAATCAAGATTATACGATCGATTTCTGCTGAGATATTTGCAAAGTACTAAATGTTGCAATCTTTATGCCGCACCCGGTATTTTAACGAATTCGAAAAACCTGAATATAGTAAAATCTAGAAAACATAAACTAGTGCACAATGAAATAGTATTTTCGAATATAATCAGACTTTTAGTAATAATAGACAACTTTAAATCAATTTCGAGTACACTGAAAACCGATCTATAATTCATATCTATGTTATGCAACTTTCTTTTCGATATTTAGGAATAATTCCACCAAAAGATCCTATTAACATGTTTGGTATGCGTTATCATGATATTCTAATCGATTATTCTCTAGAAAACAAAAATATTTTATTATTTATAGAATTTATATATTCGTTGTCTTGTTTTAGATAATTTAAATAATCTATGTTTATTCAAAATAAATGATCGTTCATTAGTTAGTCATTGTGATTGTGAATTTTGTATTGTCACAAATGATCTAGAAGAAGAAAAAGATGGTCGATTTAATGGAAAACCAATTCGTGTAGAAAAATTTTCTTCTAGTTGGTGTAAAAAGATCTTTCAGTATGTTTCATATCTAAAATTACAATGATTTTCAAAGAAAACTATTTGACTTTTTTAGGATGCTATTAGGTATTCAATTCGACAATTACAATAATATTGAGGTCACTGATCCAATATAAAATGAATTTTATTCTTATTTTCAAAATATAGCAAAACAAAATAAATTGATTTATGAAGAAGTTTTTGCTACAACGCCAACTGATCATGCTAGAAAATTTATTCAAATTACTGTATATAATAACATAGCTAAGATGAAAGATGCTGATCCAATAAGAGTATATTACCAAATTTAGACATTTTTTGAAATAATCTTTTTATTTTGTTTTTTGAGACTCGGTAAAAGTTGAAAGGTATTCAAGAATTTATTGTCGAATATTCAATTTATTTTCTTGATGAAGAAAACTATTTACCTAGTGTGAGACAACTCATAAAGTTAACAATTTTTCGTTTGATTATCGATGATAATTTTCGACAATTATTATCATATGAATATCATAACTTCTTTTTTATATTGAGAGAGAAGAATGTTTTTCTTCTAATCAATTATTAACACATCTGTGTTCTATCATGAAAAATTGAGCATCTGATATTTTCAATAATATTCGGATTAGATCAATTAGTCGATGAATTATTTGTTATTTTGTTTCTTTTTTTTCTCTCAGGCATAGCTTCACTTAAAGTATGGACTTGAAATATTTATTTTTATGCAGAAGACTATACAAATTAATAAGAAAATAAGTATTACAACAATATTTTGTTTGTACAATAGTTCATTTTGCATTCCGTTTTTCATATTGTTTTAGTATTCGAAACATTTCTATTGATGTTTTTTCTCTTCGTTTGATATTTTTTCATTCACTTATGTTTTTTAAATTTTACATATACTATTATACATTTAAATAAAGTTTTTTTTTTTTCGTGTGACATATTAATAGTCGACATACAGATTCAACATAATTCGAAAATAGATATTTCATTTTGAAATATATCAGAGTCTCTAAATGAATTTTCTGAGATGTTATGATCTTCTTTTGTTACCAATACAATCTACTAAAACGTAATTAGTTAGCATTTTTTCATTTTAGCTTTGAAACATCTGAACACATTCAAGTCTAATATTCTGAAAACATATAAAATTCATAGTGCACTTGCGTAAAGCGTGAATATTTTTCTATACATTCTAACATACTGTTGAATAGTTTTGGTGTTTCTTAACTTAATAATATTGCATAGTTGAGGCATCTTGTCTTTCAGAATTTCTGTGCTTACCGACTCTTTTTCTTTGATCCCACTAGATATAGCGATCTTTAAAATTTTAAACATTCTTAGATATTGATCTGCAGCTGAGGGCTTTTTGCTCCATTAGACGAACGAATATGCGTGGCAACAGTACTGCCGTCAATCTGGCAGATTACCATATGATCAGAAAGAAATGAAGTAACAATGTAAATTGTAAACAATATCATAGAATTGATGCGCATAAAGATATTAAACAAATTTAAGATGAATGTAGAAAAATATGTCAACGAGGAAGTTGCTTGATGATCATCATTCAATTGATTCGATACCCTTATTTTTCTTATTCTTCCCTTTTGTATTCAAAGCGAAGAGATATATAGCGATATGCATTCCTATTAAATGTAAGATCACGAGCATCATTCAAATATGTATTCAAGTATATAATTATTGACGATTCGCAATGTATGATCTTTCTATCAAAGGTTTCATATATTGAATGTATTTTATTTTTTTGTTAACTATGCAGTCTATGAATAAGGATTATACGTCACAATAGTATAATAGGCAACATGAAGCTCTAACGACGGATTATAATAAAACCAATTTATATTTGTGAATGAAAATACATTTCAAATAGATTATACACATTGATATTCATTTTTGTTTGACGTAGGGTAGTTTCTGTAAGGTGATATAGGAACAAAACGTATTCAATAAAATATGATTTATCAAATTTCATAGATAATTCAAGAAATCTGACACATTCATCTTATTTCTCGAATAGAATATTTTTCATAAATTATCTGACTTTTTACGTAACTTATAAGAGGGTGTGGGTGTGGGTGGGTGTGGTGTGGGTGTGGGTGTGGGTGGGTGTGGTGTGGGTGGGTGTGAGTGTGAGTGGTGGGGTGTGGGTGTGAGTGTGGACTTAGATGTGGGTGAGTGTGAGTGTGGACGACAAGCACATCTACACCCCGACCCGCACCTACACCCTACACCCATTCGCATCCACACCCACACCCACACCCACGCATCCACACCCACCCATACCCGCACCCATACCCACACCCCCACCCCCACACCTCCACCCCCACACCTCCACCCCCACATCCACACCCACACCCTTCTTTGTTCGGTAGTGTTTGGAAAAAACGTTTGAGCAATATTCCATCTATTTCTTCGAAGAAAATCTATGGGAAAGATGATTGTTTTATTGTGGTCCTGTACAAATCTTGGAAAATTTCGTTGAAAAATTATTCTAAAGCTCCTAATATCCAGATAGAAAGATTTCGAATAAGGCTAAAAACGTTGGATCTATATCTAAAGCAGCATGTTCTGGAAGACGAAATAAATTTCACACCAATCAAAGATCGAAATTGAGTACTCTTCTATGGGAGTAAGTTGTGGCATACATGGGATGATTCTTATATAGATTTTGTAGACCTGTGAAGTTCTCTGTCAACCGATAGATGCCAAAAGAAAGAAACCTTATGAAAATAAATAGTGAAAAACATAATAATAGTGAAGCAGGATTCTTACATCATGACTGTAGTAATTAAGAGGCAGGTATAACCGGGGATAAAAGTATGTAAATCCAAAACATACTGTTATCCGGATCAATTCAAGGGTTATCTGTGATCCACTCTCATATGACTCGAACAACACCATGTTTTATTCTTACAATAGTGCAGAAAACAGTTAGAGGGACCCACCATGGATAGTCCTAGAAAAGTTACGGAATGACTCATTTGAAAAGAGTTCATGCTCCAGTTTCAGCTCTCGCGCGCTATTGAGCTGTAGCTGTCACATACATACTAATATTCAAAATTTTGCTGAAATTTGATATCAAGAAACTCGCTTCGCTTTTCTACATAGAATTACTAATGAATTATCTATGAATAGTTAGTGGCCTATTTTTCATTGTTTATTCCTCCCCTCCTCCGTCCTTTGTTGTTGAGTGATAGTCAATGTTAAAATTATTCTTTTATTTTCGAAATTTAATTAAGTTTTTAGATTGACACGCACGGAAGTTTGCCCATGTAAACGCTTAACATTTTCGCATTCGCGGGCATGCGAACGCTTTTGTAGAAAACTGTCGCGTGTAGATGCAAAGCAATATTAGAATGGCTAAAAACCAAAACATATGATACAACTATTCAGGAGTCTTTTTTCAAGAAATAAGATTCGAATATACATACTTTGTTTTATGCAACGAACGTTTTCACCATTTGATCGTCTATTCGAATTAGAAATGCAATCAAAACTGAAAAATATCATGATCTTCTGATGACTACTAGGCACACATGTACATGGACATTAATAACTATGAAGAATTTATAACATTGAACAAGTTTTTTGAGTCAATATAATCTGATTAGACGAGAGCTATTCCATTTTTACGAGAAATAAATAAATAAGCGTGAAAGAAAAAACAAACTTCTTGCATGAAACAGCATGTGTACTACAAATTAGTAAAACTTTTCATATCAACGCAGCATTGCTTCAGAATTAATTTTCATAAGTACGACCTGTTTGTATTGACATGGAAGCTTTGGAGAAGGTCTATTCATCTTACAGGTATACACAAGTGATATTTTCGCATTTCCATAAGAATCATGTGTCGTGCATGATTTCCTATGTTTTACTGAAAAACTTAGAAAACTGTATTTGCACGCATCTGTTTACGACACGCACTTCTATGCATATATTGCTGTCCTGTATTTATACGCAAATATTGCAAATATTTCACATAACCTGTATGCGTATGCATGAGACAAGACGAATTGAAAAATATTTTACAAGTAAACGCATGTTTTAAAAAATTCCTTGCAAATACATGCGGTTTTTAAACTTTCGCTCTTGACTGAGATGAATAAACATCAAGAATTGTCTTTATCAATTGACATAGAAATTAATTCTTCACCTTGCTATGCAGATATTAAATGTCAACAATGATAAACAAGGCAAAAAAAGAACTAAAAAACATGTAAAAGATAAGATGAAGATCTTTTCGTCGCTTCTTATTAAATCATTATTCCTTAGAAATTAAAAGAAAAAAAGTTGAAAAATGTCTTCTACAAACACACAACGACACTTAATCTGTCCAATAACATTAGAATTATTTAATGATCCAGTTACAGGTGAAGATGGAAATACATATGAAAGAGAAGCAATAACTCAATGGATCATTCAATGCGGTACAAGTCCAATTACAAAAAAGCCTCTGAATATAAATCGATTAACACCAAATTGTGCAGTCAAAGATGCTGTAGAAACTTTCAAACAACAGAATGTACAACAAAGTGCAAATATTAATGACGATAATGGTTAGTAATCATTATGGTACACCATTGCTAACTATGGCATGGCAAATTCTTGTCTTCTTAGATAAAATTCGTCGAAGTTTGGAAAATTTAGATGTTCTCTGTCTTTATTGTGGATTAACACAACAACTCAATAGTGTTAAAGAACACAAAGTAAACTTAGAGTCTTTTTATGAGTTGTCCGAAAATGCTGAATCAAGTAGACATTCATGGACTAAAAAAGTTCTCTATAGACTATCTAAAAACTGTTCACTTTCTATTTAGTTACGATGTCCATCAAATCCTGGCAATATTCAACAATTTGAAATAGCAGAGAACGAAATCAATTTTGCAATGTCTCAACAAACATCTTCTAAAAATAGACATTCTGACAATGGAAGAGCACTTAGCTTTCAAAATCCTCTTGCACGTCGGTCAGTCAACCCAACAACTACTGAAACGTGTCGTCAAACTTCGATTAGACATAAAACACAATTACTGAGAGGATACCATTGTTCACTATTAACAAACCGTAAAATAAAATGGTTTTTGATCATTCTATTGATTATTATACTGACTATTAGCACAATCACATTAGCTATTTATTATAATAGATGTAAAGCAAAACAATTTTCAATAGGTCAGTTCTCTTTTATCCATAAAGTTTTAAAATGAACAAATAAAAATAAAAATTCGTTTTTTCTCTGTTTCTAACAAGCAGCGATAATGTCCATCTTCACTTCAACGATCAC